AACTTTCCCCTTAGAGCTTCCCCTTTGTTTCCAACTAGGGTTTCCTCGTTAAAAACAACAACCCCCCAATAATTGAACATCTTCTTGACGATTTTACATCTCCCCTCCTTATAATAAAGACCCAAGCGAGAAACAAAGAAGATCAGACCTTTCCAAGAAGATATCAAGGGGGCACACGTTTTCTTGTTACTCCATTTAAAGGTAAGTAAGACCAAAAGTGTTTCATTCTACTTAGCCAATTCACACACACACACACTTGAATAATATATAAATGGTGTTGATTGGTTGTAAAGAATTAGAAACTTTAGATCTTGAATATGTGATCTCTGATCTTGAACTTCCAAGTTATAAGTGGACGACCTTCATTTACAAAATAAAAATAAAGATACTACTGATTATTGAACGTACAATCTGACTTTCCAGACTTCTTATATATAGCGAAGGTACTATACTGAAACACAAACCCTTAAAGCTATATAATAAAGCCATGTAATTAGGTCATAAATTGAAGAAATTAAGTCAATATGTACGTTGTATAGACATGTGGATTCCAAACTCAGAGTCAGAGAGACAGAGAGTGCGGTGAAGATAAAATCAGAAAAAGCTGCTACAAAAATGTATGGTCAAGAGTGTTTCATTTGTTCGAATTAAAAGAAAATTATTAATCAACAGCTTCCAAGTTCTTTTTTTTTACCAAATTTGATTGCACATAAATACTCATATATACTGTATAATAAAGGCCATTTCGTTGACAAAAAATCTAGGTCTAGTGTATAATACGGAAACGTACATATGCCATCTTTGAAAGTCTTACGCAAAATTTCACTTTCGAAATGAAAAGCACATGATCCCGTCAGAATTAACCAACAAATACTCTAAACCATAAAACCGGTGTGAGTTCGGTTGTTTATTTGTTTATGGAATGTAGTTATACTAATTACATATCTTTGCATAATCGAATTGTGTGTTAGATTCACCAGTACACTTAAAGTTAACATTTTGTGCATATATATGTAGTATTTTCAATTATACATTATTTTTGACGTCCCAAGATCTTCAATGTGTAAAACTAATTGATCTGAAAGGAGAATGGCTAAGATAAATGTATATATTTGTTTGAAATAAATGTATATATTTGTTTCAAATACGAATTTAAATGGTTATAGCTTTTTAATGCAGAAACAACACTACAAACAATGAATTTTGAGGAAAAAAAGAATTAGAACATCTCATACAAATTACCAACACAGATTAGAAAATCAGAAGTGGAAAATGTTCCAATTTTTATAATGTGAGAGCGTAGACACATACACATAGACATGTGTTAAAAAATTACAGCATCGATGTGGATCAAGATTCATATCAATCTTGTAATTCTAAGATATGTGTGATTACTTCGGTTTTTAATTTCTGAGATTGAAAAATATCAGGGGATATATAAAGAAAAATGTCGTCGTATTCGAACTACACAAACTCACCATGCGCGGCGTGCAAATTCCTCCGGCGAAAATGTATCTCAGACTGCGTATTTGCGCCATATTTTCCGCCGGAAGAACCTACAAAGTTTGCGAACGTCCACCGGATATTCGGGGCAAGCAACGTCAGCAAGATCCTCCACGAGGTGGCCCCACATCAAAGGGAAGACGCGGTGAACTCGTTGGCTTACGAGGCGGAGGCACGGCTAAAAGATCCAGTGTATGGCTGCGTTGGGGCCATCTCGGTGCTCCAAAGACAAGTCTTGAGGCTCCAAAGGGAACTAGAGGAGACCAATGCTGATCTCATGAGGTATGCTAGTTGTCTTGGTGGTGAAACGATGTCGGCTTATGGTGGACGGAGGGGTTGACTGGTCAAAAAGGAGTTGATTAGACATCATCACTCTTTGAGAGAATTAGCGGCGGAGAAATATAAAGAGAGATGAGATGGTTGATGTGATGGAAGTGAATGAGGATATGTTCGTATGTAAATGTATGTCTATGGTAACATGCGCATGTGTATGCTTTCTCAAAAAAAAAAAAAAAATGC